CTCCCTCTCCCACTCCCCCTGCTTGTGTTCCCTCTCTCGCTGTGTCTCTCTCTGTCAAATAAATAAATAAAATCTTTAAAAAAAAAAAAAAATTTTCTAGTAAGTTGTAGAATTGAGATTCTAATCCAGTCTTATGATTCTGAAGTATAATTTCCCCTTTTGATGACTCTACGTCTCAACATGATGGGAAGGTCCATAACTTGAAGTCAAGTCACAGTCACAATTGAATTAAAAAAACAAAATCCCTTAAAGTCCCTCGTGAAAAAATCTAACTCTATTTAGAATCTAAAATCAGAATTTATGGGTTAGACATACACCCATATACACAAAGGCTATCTATCTGTGCCTACAACTATTTCTATACCTATATATATTCATATATATATAAAAATTTAGTTTTAAAAGTGGAAAAGATAGGGGCGCCTGGGTGGCTCAGTCATTAAGCGTCTGCCTTCGGCTCAGGTCGTGATCCCAGAGTCCTGGGATCGAGCCCTGCGTTGGGCTCCCTGCTCAGCAGGAAGCCTGCTTCTCCCTCTCCCACTCCCCCTGCTTGTGTTCCCTTTCTCGCTGTCTCTCTCTCTCTATCAAATAAATAAATAAAATCTTTTTAAAAAAAAAAAAGTGGAAAAGATATATTTTCCCTTTATGAAAATATACTATGTTACTAAGCAAGTGAAAACAAAATAAAAAAATCCTAACATTACAAAAATATGAGGAATCATATTAAAAACTCACCCAATAAATTAATGCCATCATTTACAATGAGCTGTCCATGACGCAAGTAGTTCAAAATGGGTTCAAAGTACTCAGGACTTCGGTCAATTAAGAAAGCTCCTCTATGATCTTGCTTATTTCCCCAGACACCTGTATCACCATTATAGTGAAGAGAACCCCCCCACAAACAAAACCCAAAGTTAGAAATTTAAAAATTGTGTAACATACTAATAAGTTTTTACTCGTGTAAAAATTATTGATATCATTAAAAAGTACAGAAGGACAAGAGATAAGTCAATACAGCTACAAACAGATCACACAAAATGCGAAAACAATGTGTTGCACTCACCTTTGTCCTTAAACATGTGGGCCAGCATACTGTCGGGTTCTTTATTCACTAAAGTGCTCCTAAGAATTCAGGGAAAAAAATTGATTTCTCCATTTGTCTTTATAAACAAACATATTTAAGTCAAGAGTATACTCGATCCCAGCTGCTCTCTCAAAAAGATGCATGCTATAACCTGGTAGGAGTGACGCTGGGAAACAAAAACGTGCAATAAGTTGCCATTTGTCAAAATCCCTTCTATTCTGGCATTTCCTTTGATTCAAATATTGTTTTAGGTTCCTTTAACTTAAACACTAATCTATCCTTCTGGCAAGCTATTATATCACAATATTCTTGACCTAAATTTACATTGTTCTTATCCCTTTAACATAAGCAGTTGTAGTTGCTACAAATTTCAGTATTGTTAATTTTTACTTGTGTTGCATGTTTATTATCTGACATCTAAAAAACCTGTTCTAAAACCCTAAAATACTTGATACCTAAAAAACATGTTCATACCTTTCGTGCTTTCTTTGGAAGAACTTGTGAATCATTTTTCTACTCTTTAAAAAAAACTTACGAAAAAAATGGTTTAAGATCACATAGTACTGGAGTCTCTTCTAAGGAAATGAGCAAAACTGAAGGAAAGAACAAATACTGCATAGTGTCCTCTAACACACACCTGTGCACACATTCACATGCACCTACCGTGTAGTTGTAAAGTACCGTCCTCCAACATTTAAGGTTAGCCAGTCTGTGTGAGATCCTGACAATCCTTCAGGTAGTTTAGAATCTGTCTGAGGATCTAGAAATGACATGTAGAAAATAATAAAAAAAAGTTAAGATTTGATTAATGGGGAAGATGGCAATAAGCTTCATTTTTGACACTAAAAACACACATAAAAGCATACCAGTGCTACTAGAGACCCATTGATAGCATTTAAGACAAATCTGGTAAGGTATTCCCACAGATACAAGAGCACCATGGTATCAGCATCTTTGAAGGAAGAAGCTGACAGAAACAACAGGGTATGTGATGAACCTAAGAATTCCAAAGTAATCCATACTCACTTCAAAGCTCAGCAAGTCTATTTGAGAATAGCAGACTGAAAGTGGAAGGGCTATGTCCAATCCATGGGTGGATGATGCAAGTAGTTTGCAGTAAGATCTGAGGAGGCTGGAAATGAACCTCAAAACCCACCAGCCAAAACTCCCTTCTAGGACAAAGCCCAATACACTAAGGACAAGATGTTGGAAAAAGAATCCAAGTTGAACAGAACAAAGACAACAGAGACAAAAGAGAAAGGAGTTCAGATAAAAGTTAAAAAGGTCTAACACAACCAGAATATATGAGAAGGTGACTTCCATATTTTTTAATACTTCACACAAACAACAGAAAAGGGAACTTCAGAGCCATGAAATTAGAAAACCTTTCCTAAGTCAGCTCTCCCTTCTCAAGTTAAAGAAACTAATTTTCCACTTTAAATGGGCAACAGAAGATCCCATACAAAAATTTAAAAAAAGAATTACATCCCCATAGACAATGAAAATGTGCCAGAAAGAAATGCCCACAAAATAGATAAAAACTATAATCAAATATTCTAAACATGCTAAAAGAAGTAAATACAAAATATGAAAAGAACAACATAACCCAGAATTACAAAATTCACAAATGAGGTGAGAGAACTCAGGAGAGAATTAGAACTACAATGAAAACCCAATTCAGAAATGAAGATTAAACTAGAAGAACCAGGAGAGAATAAACAGGTAACACCTTAAGGGAAAGAAAAGATGAAAAAGAGGAAACCTTTAAAAATCAGTAAGAAATGAAGGAAGAGATGAAAAGGATTTCAAGGAAGATTTCCAATATAAAAGACAGGTGTAGAAGATCCAACATACAAACAATAGGAGTACTGAAAGGAGAAAATTAAAGCAAGGGGACAAAATAAATGCATAATTTAAAGTTCAAGAAATCTTTGCCGAAATTAAAAGAAGATTTGAAAGTATGTATCAACAGGGTTCACCACATATCAGACAGAAAGAATCAGCTCAGAACACTCAGAAAGAGCCTCCTAAAATTACCGTTTTTTAAAGAAAGAGAATAATCCTTTGAGTGACCTAGGAAAAATAATCATTATGAATGATGAGATTTTTTGGACACGAACATTTTATGCCAGAATAAGATTGAGTACAACATATTTAAGATACTTAAAGAAAGAAAATGTGAACTAAGGATTTTTTTTTAACAGCTTAATTGAGGAATAACTGATACACAACAAACCATACATTAAAGTTTTCAATTTGTTCAGTTTTGACATATGATTTTATATCCAGTCAAATTGATTTTCAAGTATAGAGGCCACAAACTGTTATTAACATGTGAGATATCAGAGAACATTGTTCTCAGAAGTTCTTTGTAAAGAATCTACTATAGAATAAGTTTCAGACAACCACTGGAAGCATCAACGTAAGGATTGGGGGTGAGCATTAAATACATTTGAAAGAGTAAAGCTAAGTGACAGTTTTAAGAGATAGTATAGTATATAATGGCTATGTAAGCTGATAATGTAGAAACGATACAATTATTTTTTAAGTAAGGATAGAAAGGAATGAGCATATGCAAAAAATGTTTAACTGCCTTTAGCAGTCATATTGGTAAAGTATTGGAATTGTTACTGACATTCTTATGTGTGTTTTGTGTGGGATGAAATGAGTACTTAGGACATAATTCTATTATTCCCTATGTCCCTGAAAACCAAAATTATTGATATGGAAGAAAGGAGACATAGGTGTAAGACAGAAAAAGTTAAATAAAAATCTTACAATCCTGATATAAACCAAAGTAGGAGTATGAACCCAGGAGATATTTTACCTCTGTATAATGTCATATATCATATAAACCTTCATATCATATAATATATATTACACATAAATTTCATCTCTAGCTAGTTATGTATTTCCAACTCTGTCCACCAAAAAGCCTAGTAAAAATAATGAACCCAGCAGCAATGAGCCTATCTGGCACCCAGACTGTGTTCTGAAATGACATTTCCTACTAAAAGAAATTAAGGCTTCTTGGAAAATGTATTGATCTGGGTCTGCGACAGAAGTATAAGATGAATACCTTGTTACTCCAGATAGTAAGGAAGCTATAAAAGACCAATGGGGTTGTAATAAAAGGAGCTGAAGAGGCTTCCACCAGCCAAACATAAAATAATGTGGGCATCAATAAACGCAGAGCATGAAAACATACCAAATATTTTTAAATCCAAGAGTTCGTAACGATAAGACAAAAACACTACTTGATTACTTTTTGTTTGTATGTGTGCAAAGAACCAATTAAGTGACAGCTGCTTGCTAACTACTTTGTTAAGCTAATGGATAAAAGCTGTGGAAAAATTTGTGCTCATCATTTTAAGGTAGAGACAGAGAAGAGAATGTACTTACTTCTAAGTTGGCAACTGCTTGTGTGATGATCCTGAGAACTCCCTCTACTCACCAAATACAATTACTGTGATGGCTTACAAAAATTACTAAATATTCAGGGTCAGATTGTATGGAGCTAAATATATCAAATACTCATTAAAGAACAGTGATGTTATCTAAGCCTTAGGCTCTCTCTCTTGAGATGCACAACTGTATAAGCTTTCTTCCAAATCAAAAGGTAGCGTACGTGTCCTTGTGTGTGGTTGATACCAAGTTATTTTGACTGATTTGATCTGACCACTGTGAATGATTGTCAAATGCTAACTTGTGCAAGCAGTACACTCTAAAATCTGTAACCTAACACACAGGAATTGCGACAATTACTATCAAGGAGAACGTATCCTAACAAAAGTTGTAGTTTCCACAATCGAAATGACCTTATCATGTCAACTTTGATGAATCTGTGTACTTCCAGAGCATTTTAAAGGCATGTAAAAAGATGAGGTATCCATACTAAAATATGATAATATAATTCAAATTAAAACTTTACTTCGATACACACACATCCGATTTAGAATCAAAGAAGGTATGAAGATCAGAATGCTGCCATGAGATCCTTTTCAATATTAAGCTTAGTAAGTGCATGTAAAATATTTGCCATCTTTTTCATTTTGGCAGACAAAATTGGCTTGTAAGGAAGTCACTTACCAATAAATGGTTCTCCTTCACACACAAACAAAACATCATCATCCCTGGGGAAATCAAAATTTAAAAGCCACCATCAAAATCCAGAAATCACATTAATTATCAGTTGACTAGAGGACCTATACCTTAGAATTATGTAGAAGGCAGGTTTTGCTATCAATCTATATTGCAAGGAAGTTGACTTAAGTTTCCAGTGCTTTGCTTAACTTCTTGACTTAGCGGTCTTTGGATTTAAATTCAAATAAGGTCCTGCATGTGGAAGAACTTTTAAAATGGCAAAAACAAAACAAAACCCACTATGCTAATTATGTGAATTCAGCTTTCTTATCAACTGAAGAACACACGCTCATGCTCAAGGGATATGATTAAAGCCATGGCAATTTTTTTTACTTTAATTCTGTAACCCTCAATAAATTATTGGGGTTTTCTTCTAAATCATCAGCTGCTCTGTGCTTTGGAAATGAAAATACATTTTTATGTTACATCTAGGAAGAATATAATTTTCAAGTAGAACTCTGCTATACAAACTTACTAACACCCACCACACACCCAAAGGTAAAATGATTGCACATAATCCAAAATTCTAGATTATCAGTGTATATTCTCCTCCCCTGCCTCAACATATCTCACCATTAGTGCAAATAAGTGGTCAGAGTGTACACTGTGAGCCACAAATTCTTAATCAGGTAGATATTTTCTAGTTCAGAAGGCTTCATTTCTGACCTTCTATGTTGTAGAAATTTTTATTTCCTGTAAGGCATCACAGGAATGCATTGAATATTTCTTAGAGGCAGCATCTGGGTTAAGGAGAAATTTAGCTTGATGCAAATCATCCAAGAATGAGACTCAATTATCTATCGAAACGGAAAGAAGCTGGGAGACAGATGCTGAAAAACTAAGAAATTCTAATTGATTTGGATTTTAAAGCTACATCTTTTAAGTCTACAATCTTTTATACTTGCTCACTATGCCAATTAATTTTTAAGACAGTATGAACATTTGTTTTCTTCTCATTAACAAAAATCAACTACTAAACTGTGTGACCCAGGTAAGATATTGAACTTCTCAAATGTTTAGTTTCCTCATTTATAAAATGAAGAAATTAGAAGCAATTACCTTCAAAAGCAGTGTATTACATTGAAAGGTCATTCTGACCTGAGTTTAAACAAAAACTAAACTTTATGTTAGTTTTGTAGTTTTGTATTAGCTACTGTAGTTCTGTATTAGCTATTGTAATTTAGCGCATCATTATCTTCATACCATCAGTTTAAAAGACCTCATGCCTCGCCAATTAAATGAGGTGACTTGGGCAGAGCCAATACAAGGCAACGGGCAAAGTCAGTTCTTAGCGTTCCCCTCCCATCTTCTTTCTTAAGCCTCTTGCTCCAAAATTCTATGAGCCTATGAGAATGGAATGAGGTGAACTAACACTTGTTTTAAAGAGATAAATCTGCCTGGGATATTTAAAAAATAAAATCAAAACCCAACAAACAGAAAGTCACTATTGTGGAGGATCACTGGTGAGTTAACCCTACTTAAAGCTCTACCTTATTTAGCAAGTTTTTACCAAAATAGGTCTTTGTAAGGTTCATAAAATTCAAAACATTCTTAGGAAATGAACTGAACAATAAGCAGTAGCATTTAAATTAAAAGAGATCAATCAAATTTCTAACATTAAAAAAATGCATGTCCTCAGAGTCAGACGTTCTAGGCATCTGAATTTTGAAACATGCCATGATATTAGCCAAACCCAAATTATAAGCGGTGGGAAAAGAGGTAGAAAAGATGTGGTAAAGGGCGCCTGGGTGGCTCAGATGGTTAGGCATCTGTCTTTGGCTCAGGTCATGATCTCCAGGTCCTGGGATCAAGCCCCACATTAGGCTCCCGGCTGACTCAGAGGGGAGCCTGCTTCTCCCTCTCTCTCTGCCTCTCCCCCAGCTTGTGTGCTCTGTCTCTCTCTCAAATGAATAAATAAAAAATCTTAAAAAAAATAAAAAGATGTGGTGAAATTAACACCTGGAAAACACTCGGCAAATTGGTCATTCGACAAACTGATTTTTGGTGAACTGGCTTTGTGTAAATTAGTCATTTAGCGAATTGGCCTGCTTCTCTGTGAGGGCTATTTTTATAACAAGTAGAGAAGAATCAACATTTTAAATTTATCTTACAAAAACACATGTTCAGAGGCAATCAAGTCATGAGTTAATGTATATACATCAATTTTGTTAATACGAAAATAAATTCTGACACCCCTCCCAAATTGCATGTCTTATTAGATCCATCTCTAATAACAAAAAAATTCCTTATAGCCATGTATGAAATATGCAGAAAGACTATCAGAATATTGGAATGTACTGAGGATTTTCTACCTTATAGAAGTCCAAATTACTTAAATTCTAAAGAGCAAATTTTAGGCAATCATTTGCCAAAATTCTGTATTCTTACCAGTAATTAAACTACTGCTTAAGGGAAACAGCACAGCACCAAGATGTTGAGGGAACACTGTAGACAGCTTATAAGAAGGTGAAGGTTACCTGATCAGAGCAATATCATCGATCAGTCCACCTTTCCCATTATACACACTGGTGGCTTTTATGCCGAGTTTACTGCTGGCCACAGAAAGCAAATCAGATAAAGTTCCATATACAGCGACCACCTGTGAACACACCAGATTAATTTGGATAACTTATATAATGAATTTCATTACTTACAAATTATAAACCACCATACTATAAACAGGACTAAAAATCAGACTATCAAATAAAAGGAGATTCTGAGAGGTTCTTACATCTAATATTGCTGAAATCCAAAACTAGAGTGTAAGAAATCATCTCTGCGTGAAAATAATTTACAATCTTATGTATGTTAAATAACGCTCTAGATCTGAAGACAGACCCACACCTGAATGTAGGTTATGACATTTTCTAGCTGTCGACATGAGCCAAATTAACCTCTTTATGCTTCTGTTGTTTTAACAAGAAATGAATAAAAGTCACACCTATATCAGGTCATGAGGATGAAATGAGTTAATGCATGGCATGAGCTTAGCAAAGTGCCTGAGACCTATTAAGTCTTTATAATGTTGCTTTTATGTTATTCCTTTGTTATAGGAATGGTTTATTTTAAAAATAGGAATGATTTACTGTTTATGCTAACATTTACTACATCAACCACCACGTGAAAGGTAACAACTTCCCACTTCATTTATTTAATTCTTCAGCAACCACTTATAATTATAAAAGCCAGATTTTAGCTAACATTCTAAATACAGCCAACAGCTGGGATACAGTGAATTGCTCTCTCCTGCTTTACATCAGGCACAGTCTGATATATGCATAAGCAATGCAAATGCTTAGGTAGGGGGCTGAGAATCTCTACATGTAGTTTTTTTTTTTTTTGCTCCAGTATAATTTTAACTATGGGTTCCCAGTGGCTGAGTTGTATAGTTGTACTGTTATCGGTTAAGATTTCTGAAAATTACGAATAAAACATAGATGAGGGGCTGAACATGAAGAACGAACAGCCAATCAACTTCCCACGGGATACTGGATCAAAGTGCCATATGAAATAAGAAACAAGGCTGATCCTTTGGTTACCAGTGACTGGAGTTTAGTGGACCCTGAATTTTTAGTTAGATAAATGTAACGAATAGCAGGGTATGGAGGGAATTGCTTGTTAATATGGGAAAGTACAATCTTCATGGCAGAGTACTCAGATCCCCAACTGTTTTCTCTTGGATCATAAGGATGAAAGGACAGATAAGTATTGCAAGCTGGGAAATTCTAGGGAAGGGTTGTAGGCAAGCACAATTTAAAGGGAAGTAGGTGGATTAAAAGTCATACACAATCCAAGTGTCCTTAAACGGATGAATGGATAAACAAAATGTGGTATATACACACAATGGAGTATTATTCAGCTATTAAAAGGAATGAAATTCTGATATATGCTACAACATAGATAAATCTTGAAGCCATATGCTAAGTAAAATAAGCCAGACACATAAAAGGGCAAATATTATGTGATCCCACTTACATGACATACTTAGGCAGAAAGTAGAATAAAGATTACCAGGGTGGAGGGTGAATAGGAAAGTCATTGCTTATGGGTAGTTTCTATTTGGTATGATAAATTTTGGAAGTAGTGGTATTACACTGTGAATGTACCTAATGCCAATGAATTGTATGCTTAAAAATGGCTAAAATGCTAACTTTTGTGTTATGTATATCTTGCCATGGTAAAAAAAAAAAAAATAATGGAAAGCACTTGGCACAGTGTCTTGACAGAGGAGACATGCCATAAATAACTGAAACTTGAATAAAATGTGTCTCCTTTATTTCCTATCATTTTTTCACCTCCGTAATAGAGCCTGGAATTCTGTTACTGCAGATACATGTTCCTGGGAGAAAAGGAAGAGAAAAAATATAAGGCATTAGGTGCAGCAAACCCACTTGTGCTAAGAGAGAGGGTGTGGAGAGAAAACAAAAGAATCAAAAGCATAGAAACACAAGACACTGACCAAAGCAAATGCAAATCGACTTTTACAGCCCGGAAACTGTCCGGGGAGGGTAAGAAAATCCTTTCCAACATCAGCATTCTTGTCATAGTTCCTATTATATAAGAATTTTCTAATTGACCTTTGCTTCTTATATATTTTTACATGGCTTTGGTTAGCCTGACATTATCCCCTCCTTGCCAGAACACCAACTTTCTCCCCCAGCATTTCTTTTCACTTCTCTCCCTCAACCAGCCATATCATAAAACGGATGAAAATTTAATGTATCTATGTTATGCAATGGACACTTTCCTTTAAATAAGATAATCAAAAGGCCATCAATTAGAGAAAATAGTAGTGAAATTATTGCAAGAAATCTTACAGTTCTGTAGATTTGAAAAATTGCCCTTAAGTTGCGCTACCACACTTGTTTTTCATTTGGAGGGCATTTTTGGCATTTGTTTAACTAGATCACTTTAGCTTTACTCTCTTGAGCATACTAACAAATAAGATAGAATTATATTGCAAACATAATATTCAAAATCTGTCTTTCATATAAACCAATCAGAATATCTGATTTAAAAATAGATATATACCAACATAAAAATGTGATAGGCTTGGAAAACATTTTAAGTTGGTAAGAAAGTCTGTAATAGACTGGCTCATGTACCTTTCTTTATGTAACAACTTTGTTGGGGAGAAAGCAGCAATGGAAATCTTGTAATATCATAGATTTGAGCTGTAATTGTTATATAATAAGCTTATTTTAGTCCTCAGAGAGGCCAAGCATTTGTAAAATGATCATGCTAAGAATGGCTATATGCTCCCCAGGGTGGACCTGGAGTTCCCATGTTACTGGGATTATCTGCTTTAATAAACAAGGC